CCTCCCCCACGCCTCCTCTGCTGGGTCTCTGCACACACAGCTGGCCTCAGAGGGTCCCCGATAAGGCAAAATGTTGACTCCAACACCTCATAGGCCCTTGTCACTTTGGCGCAGTGTAGAGGGGCCTGCGGATGCAGTGAATGGTAGCACTTGTTCAAAATGGCTGCTGCCCCTCCCCGCGGATTGCCCGGCCCCCGGAGGATGGCACCCCCACCCCCTGGCATCTGGCTGCTCCGGTGAATGAGATGTGAGGGGAGGTGACACCTGCTGCCTCGGAGCAGAACGTTCAGAGCCCCGTGGAATCCCACCACGTGTCTCCTGCCCTCCTTTCGGCCTGGACTGCAGAGCAGATGCTTGTGCAAGGCGTCTCCACATACCGTCCACGTGTGAGAGACTCATGTGGCTTGGTGTGCGTGCACACCCCTGGGGTTTGGGGGTGTTTGTTACTGCAGCATAGCCAGACTGAGTTGACTGCGCCAGGGTTTGATGGTTCCTCTATTTTGAAGTTGCCTGGACTCGCTCCTGGTTCAGGGAAACAAGAAAGTGGAGGGCCGCCTAGAGCCGGCCAGGCGAGTCTGCTTCAAAGCAGAGTGGGGACACAGTGAGGCTGACCACTCACTTTTGGGGGATGCCCCTGTCTTCTGCCTGAGCCATGTGGGGAACCCCAACAAAAGGTCCTAGTTCCAGGCCCTGGGCCTTTCCCTTGCCCACTTCCTCCTCAGGCCACCCCCTCCCCTGGCTCCAGGCACCACAGCAACAGGAAGACTCAGCAGCGCCCTGCTTTGGGGAGGCGGGTGGCTCTCTCCTCCCACAAGGGACATGTGGAGGCTCCCACTTGCTCGCCTGGGTTTTACCCAGAGCCTTGGGCCCCTATATGAGCAGCAGGGCAGTGGCCTAGCAGCAGGGCAGAAGCAAAGGTGGTGGTAGTAACTGGCAGCCATGTCAGTAGTAGTGAGAGCAGGAGCAGCGATAGCAGCAGCACCGGGAGCAGCAGCGGCAGTATTAGCGATTGTGACAGTGTGGGAGCAATAGCAGGAGCAGCGGGAACAGTAGTAATAGCAACTACTACTATTATTATTATTAAGCGACTACTACAACTATTATTAAGTAGTAGCGGAGCCAGAGCAGTGGTAGCAACACTGGCAGCCCTCCCCTGGGCTCCAGCTACTGTCCTGTGCTCAGGTGCACAAACTCCTCCCAGCACCGCACACGGGAGGCACCGTTACCATCCACTAAAAGAAGCCCAAAGAGGCTAGGTAACATGTCCAGGGGCCCATTGTAACAAGGTGGTCCCCAGGAAAAGGGGAGGTGCCAGGTTCCCTGACCCACCCCAGGGAGGGTGGAGCTGAGCAGGGAGGAGAAGTTGGGGAGGAGCCTGAGAAGGAAGGAGGCAGGATGGAGCCAGATGGGGGCCCAGAGGAGGCCTGTGGAGCAGAGACGTGTGAAGAAGCTGCGCTTGCTTCTTGGTCCTGGAATGCTTGAAGCGTGCGGGTGAGAGGCCCGCGGGAGGATAACAATGGCAGCTTTATCTTGATTTTGATTTTGCTCTTTTCCTCCCAGACTTGTCTGGCTGTTTCTGAACCTTTTCTATGGGCCCCCGCCAGAAGGTGCTTTAGACTGGTGGCAGCTTTCGGGCCTTGTTGTGGGTGAAGCCTGTTTGGGTGGGCATTTACCCACGAGGGGCCGGGTAAGTTCAGGTGCTTGTTTTGGAAACTATATTCTTTGTCTTGTCTGTACTGCACAATTACAGTTCCTTTCCATTAAAGATTTTATGTGTTTTGGGCCTCCCTGGTGGCGCAGTGGGTTGAATAAGTGCTGTGAAGCTGTCTGCAGCCTCTGCAGTGCCAGTTCGATCCCCGCTGGACAGTGAGGGTCCCACATGGCGCGGCAGACCTCTCCTGTCTCGCCCGCTGCTCCCCTCAGCAGTGTATTTCTTCAGTCTGCCTGTTCTGCTCCCTGCTCTGTCTCTGGAGACTCCTCTCACCCTCCTGCACATCTGGCCTGTACCCCCACTCTTGTACAAATAAAATAAATCTTTAAAAAAAAAGGCAGATGGCAGAAGCTATTTACAGCAGGCAGTTTTGGGGGTTCTGGGGTGCCCGTCTCCCCACCCTGTAACACCACAAGTAGTAAAAGGCAGGGCTGGGTTGGAACACGGGTTGTGTGGCTCCCATCATCAGCCCCCGTTCACAGGCGAAGGGAGAAGGCACGGAACAGGGAGCCGCACATCATCGCGGCGGGAAACCCTCCACCTGCTTGTGTTTTGATGCTGCCTGGGTTCCCTCCTGGGCAAACCTCAAAGGTCCAAAGTTTGGCGCTCAGTGGAAGAAATTCAAGAGCCAAGCAAAACATGCAAACTTACAGAGGGCACGAGTCGGGTGGCTGTGAGTGGGCGCCAGTCATGCCCGGAAGTTGTGTTACAGGGAGGATTTTTGATTTGAGTTGTGATGGTCTCTTCAGCAAAGTTGAATGCTGCTTTTCTGAAAGTTTAAAGATGGAGCATAGGGCGCCACCACCGGCCCCAGGGGAGGAAGACACAAGCCGCTCTGCGAGCTGCCTCGCCCCCGAGTGCCCTGCTTCGACCGGGGCCTTCTTACCAGGAGCAAGACACGCGCCGGGCCTGACCTCCCAGTCCCGGGGGCGAGGCTGGCGTGTGCTGTCTGAACCATTCCGAAAGGCCGCGACAACTGGGGTGGGGGGTGCAGTGGCTTGGAGAAACCTGCAGTGATCACCCTGGATACGGGGGCAGGGAGCAAGAAAGAAGCCTGGGGGATTTAGGAGAGAAGCTGAACCTCCAGACACTGTCTAGTCTGGAGCCCTTTTCCTCCAAGAAGCTCCCCCAATGGGCTTGCGCTGGAACAAAGCCCCCTCAGGACCTGGGGAGCACATCACCACTCCCCACTTTCAGACACTTCCCCAACGTGGGGGTCACTGGCGTCCAGGAGGCCAAGTCCCCGAAGGCCCAGTTATGCGCAGTGCGAGCGCAACCTCTTGCTGGCAGGACCACATGGTCCACAGCAGACAGGCTGCTACTGTCCTCCTGCCACAGTCGGTGCAAACCTGTCATCTTCACCCCTTCTGCAGAGGGAGCCACGTATCTGATCCGGAAAACTAAATTCTCTCTCTTTGAGATTTCCTACACGTTTTTCCCTGTTCGAGGCAGCAGAGAGTTTGTACATAAGTTAACAGCCTTCTCCCTGCACCGGCCCCCCCAGCCCCCCAGCCCCCCGCACACACCATGGCCCACTCCCAGGGCGCCGGAAGGAGCTAGCAGTTCACCAAGAGCCTGGACACACGCTGGACCAATTTCCCAGGCTCCCTTGCAGTCAGGTATGGTCACGTGACTGAGTTCCAGCCAGTGGGTGTGAGCGCAGGTGACACGCCCACCCCACCTAGGCCTGGGGGGTGAGACTGGTCAGAACTCCCCCAGGCTCTTAGCCCTCGTGGCCATGCAGCAGAGGGAGTGGAAGCTGCGTGCCAAGGTGTGGAGCCGGGTCCCTGAATGAGCCTTCAGGGATCTTGCAGGGGGGCAGGAAACCACTTTGCTATTACAGCAGCTGGTGGATCTTCCCAATTCCACTTTCTCCACAGCCTGACCCTCTGTCTTGAAGCTGTTGTTACCAGGTCAGCCTCCTCTGTCACCTGCAGGCGAGCTCCGAGAGGCGGGGACTCTGCTCTGCTCCCTGCTGTGTCTCCAGCGACAGAGCAAAGCCTGACACAGAATAGACACTCAATAAATGAGTGGATTATGTGGCACCCATTCTGCACGAGTCAGGTCCCCATGGATAGGCCCCCTTTTCTCAAGAACAGGAACTTGTCTCTGCTTTCACTTTCTCATCCACCTGTGGAGCTAGAAAACCAGCCCTTAACTAACACACTCACCCTCAAGGCCCAGGTTTCCCCCCTTCTCTGACACCCTCCGAGTCCCACATGGTCTGCATCTCCTGAGCTCCTGGGCCAGGGGACCCTCAGCAGTCACAAGGCCACTTGTCAATCGGCCCAGCAAGCACCGATGACCGAGTCTCTCCCATCCAACCGGGCCCCCACCCCCACCCTCCAACTAGACTGGAAGCCTCTGAGGCCCCCTGACCTGTCTTTGTCTCTTCCCTATGTCGGGCCCGAGTGTTCCTGGGGAAGCAAACACTCCGGAATATTTAGTAAAGATCTTAAAATATTTATTATATTTACTTAATGTTTAATTATGTAAGTATATTTATAATTTATGCTTAGAATATTTATGAAACACTTAAAAATATTTTATTATCTTATTTAACTGTTGTCACTCTGTTGCTAACTGGAGGTGAAAAGCTTCCTACACTCGCGACATCCAATTTGAGGAGGACCCGGCTCAGCATTTGGAATGTTCTAGAGTCTTCGACAGCTTTTTTTGACTTTACTATCTGGCATGGCCCATGAGTGCAGGGGGGAGCTGGAAGCCTTTCATCAAGTATCAGTACCAACTCACCCTAGATGGGGAATGCCAAGACATTTTCCCGCCGAGGCCCAAGCCTTGCCTGGCAGCCCTGTGCACATACAGGACTCTGACCCTCGCAAAGGCCCTGTGATACAGCTTGGATGGCGATGCTTATTGCCCATTTGACAGATGAGAAAATAGAGGCTCTGAGAGCTTAGGTGACATTTGCAAGCACATGGCTGGAGTGCATCCTGAGCCCTTCCTAGGACCCAGAGGGCCAGCCATCCCCGCTCCTTTTCTTCCCTTTCTCAAGCCTGAGCTGACAAGAGGAAACTTCACCGGCAGCTTCACTACGAGGAAGCCAAGACAACAAGCCATGAGTGACAAGGCTGAGCGGAAACTCTTGCCTCTGAGCGATAAGCTGAGTTCAAAACAAACGTGGCCAAACAACTTCAGCGGATGCAAAGCTTCCCTCCCTTCTTCTAATTTTAAACCCCTCTACCTGACAGCAGTGGCTGTGGTTACGGGGTGCAGTGTCTGCTGCTGCTGTGTGGTCGGGGGCCAGAACGGGAAGACAGGTACTTACTCGATTTTTCTTCTTTGATGGCGCACTCGAGCACATCGGACGAGCTCTCCTGCAGGGACGGGACGTGGACACAGAGCACCAGGCGCTTCAGGCTGCTGTCCCTGCGCACCAGGAACGCCTGCGAGGAACAGGGGAGAGCACCCGCGTCAGAGAGCTGAGTGAGGTGGAGGTCAGCAAGTGTTGCCGAAACAAGAGGCAAGGAGGGCCGTCAAGCACCCCTCAGGAGAACTGGGCTTCTGCCCCAGGAGCCAGGTGTCACCTGGTCCACATCCCCAGATCAAGTCCTCGTTCTCTCATGGAGGGAGGTCCACGAAATCACCGTTTCCCAAAGGTGTCTGTGTTGTAGGCATAGAGCTTGGCAGGAGGGGCTTAAAATGCAGATCCCTGAGTCCCCCCAAGAGGCTGTTTGGGAGGGGGAGAATCAGGTGATTCTGATCTGGGAGGTGGTCTGGGGTCCACACTTAATAAAGCTCTAATACATGGGGAGTCAAGTTAAATTTCAACCACCCCAGCACGTATGCTCTGGGGGAGGCTGCTGGAAACAATCACAGATATTAGTCAATTCACACTTTATCCCCCACAGAAATAAAAATAGCTAATAAATAATATAGACTTTTCTCTGAGACAGGAACTATTAAGAATTCTTTGCATACGCACACTTGCTCCCGCCTCTCGGCCCCGCCACGGGAGTCTTGTGGTTATCGTAACTGTGGATAAGAAAACAAGGCCTCTCAGACCTCAGCAGGGGCCCACTCCTCGAGCTGGTTGAGGGCGATCAGAGCAAACGCGTCGCGTGCGTGGGCTGAGCCCACAGGACACACGTTGGAAGCTTAGCCCGCCGGCCAAGGCCTCGTGGCTCTAAGGGGCAATGCTGGGAGCCAGGCCTGGACGCCGGTGGCCTGGATGCCACTTCTCCATGGGCAAGCCCTGCCCAGTGAGGGGAGGGACTGGTCCTCCCTTCTCAAATGATTTCATCCCGGTCTGATAAAACAACGCCTCTGGGCCCTGGGACATATCTGTGCTCCGGTCACCAAGCTTCACCCGAAGTCCAAACCCAAGTGGGGGGACTCAGGTTTCCTCCCCGCTACTCCCGTTCCGGCCGATGGCTTTGCTCAGCCGTGACTCCGAAATTTCCCACTGTCACACCCACAGCGGCCCCCCACCCTTCAGGACCTCATGGGGAGGGCCCCCTCTTTCCTCTCACAAACTGTCTTTTTCAAATGTCCTTTTTGTCCCCTCTGCCCCACTCCCAAGCTCGTCCCTTCTTCCAGGGATGATGACACTTTACGGAATGGCCCCGTCCTTGGGGCCTGGCTTCCTGGGGAAGGGAGGGGGTGTCCCTCAGCCAGTGAAGGTCACTCCTTCCTTTCCTGAGAAAGGACGTGGTCGCAGTGTCCCCCTTCTGTCCTGCTCTGTCCCGCTCAGGCCCCCAGCACCTGGGCTGGCGCTTAGGAGACCAGGAGTCTGGCCGCGTTGCTGAAGGAGAGCTGGGGAGCAGGGTCACCAAGAAGTGCCGAGGACGGGCCCCAGGAATGGGAGGTGCTGGGGGATCACCAAGATGTCACGGCTTCCCTTCCCCCACCAGCCCTAAGGGAAGTTCCGAATTCTCGGCCATCATTACTGATTACGATTATAATCATATCACTACATTATAATTGTTCCTGCCATGGTATTACAGCTGTTAGTGAAAACATTACAATAATATCATTATTGGTGACTAATGACAGCTGACACACACTGGCCCTCACCCCAGCCCATCGGATTCCACGGTCTTACTTGAATCTCCTACGGGAGCCATGAGGGTGTGCCATCATCACCCCCACCTTATGAATGAGGAAACTGAGGCAGAGAGCGGCAAGCCCACAGGGTGAGGACCCACTGGAGCTGGGGTCTGAGCTCAGCCCCTTCCTCTACTTTCCAGAAATCACCCACCCTCCATCCGGCCCACAGTGGCTGGGTGTCCTGGCTTAAAATTTTGCTTTCCATGAGCACGTGTGTCCCTTTGGGAGCAAGAGAGTCCACAGAGAGTCCATGGTCGCTGGGCCTTGGCTGGAAATGAGTTTACCAGCAGTTTGTCCAGCAGAGCAGGGTGGAGAGAGCATGAGAACTGGGGAGGACGGAGGCCGCTGGGGGAGCGGCTTCTCGGGCCAGCGGTGGTGAGGAGGGGGAGATGGCACAGGGCGGAGCTTGCAGCCTGGGACCTGCCCAGCCTGGACGGGAGCCCCGCCCCTGGGGCTCCACAGGAGGCTCTCCAGAAGCCTCCTCGCCCTTCACTCAGAGATCACGCCTGGCCCCCAGTGCGGCCTGGCCCTCCCGTGAGCCGCAGCTTCACTGAACTGACTCGTCACCTTCCTTTCAAAGAAAAGAGGTCGCTTTGCCTCTTCCTCAGAGGCCCCTGGCCGAGCTGCCCCCTGTCCACCGAGCAGGCGGGGACTAGCGGTGTGTGAGGGAAGGCGAGGGTGGGTGTGAGCGGGAACGGGTGAGTGTGTCTGAGAATGAGTGTGGTATCATAAAAAAATTACATCTGGTCTTTGTCCCCAGTTCCTGACACAGAGCTTGGCATTTGCTGAGAAACAGGAGTGTCTTGTTGGTCGTCAGGAGTCCCTAGGGACTGAGCCGAGTTGACACGACAGGTGACTCACGGCGGCCTCGGCTTCACAGGGGGGCTGGCCACGGAACACCGGGCCACGGAACACCGGGAGCTTTCGGTTCACCCCGACCTCAGGCGAGGCAGCGGCTGAGCGCATGGCTAAATCACTCACGGCCACACAGCGAAACTTGGCCCAGCCTCTGGACGCTGAAACTCAGCAGAGCTTCGGGGTTGGGGGGCATGGGGATGTGTGGGAGGGGCGGGTGCCCCAATTCCACGGGAGCTGGGTGGGGCCTCTGCATCCCCCCACTCCAGGCCTTGGCCCCTGCGGCCCTTTTATTAGGCCGAGTTGCATCCTTCAGCATAATGTGGTCCGCAGGAGGCAGCTTCTGCTGAGTTCTGGAGTCCTGGCGACTCACCAAACCTGAAGGGTTGTGTCCATAGTCAAATCAAGCAGAGACACAGGTGGCCGGGCACCCCACTTGTGTGAGGCATGTGAAGTGAGGCAGTCCTGTTGGGGCTCCTGCCTTTAACCTGTGGGGTCTGTGCTCCCCAGGTGGGCAGTGTCTGGAGAATTAAATTGTCAGACCCGTCCCCCCGGGGTGCGGGAGCACTGCTGTGGGTGGAGTGAGTGTGCATGCATGTGAGGGCTCGTGAGTGTGTGTGGGGTGAGTGTGGAATGAGGGGCCTCCCTGATGCAGCCCTGGGGAGCTGGCTGCCTTGGTGACCCCGGGACAGACGACAGTAAACTAGGACCCTTGACCCTGAGCCAGGACCGGAGCTGAGGTCAGAGCCCGCCTGAATGGAAACCAGAGCGGGGTTGCTGCAGGGAGGCGGCTCCCTTGGTCAGTGAGGAGCCGCACCGCGGGGACGCGAGCCGGTGGCAGAGCTGCTCCTCCAGCCCAGGGGTCGGGAGGCCACGGGAAGAAAAGCGGTGCTTCTCCAACTGTGGGTCGTGGCCCATCAGTGCAAACCCACCCACAGACCCGCCCCCGCCCCCCACAAAAAAAAAAAAACAATCAAACAGAAGAGGCTTGCCCCGGAGGGCGGCCTCCTGGGGAGGGCCACGGGTGCTGCTGGCTGCAGACATCAGCTTCCAACCCCGCGCTTGTGACGCTGTCTCCTCTCTCCCTCAGGAGACTGCAGGGCAAGTCCTGGGGCCAGGCTCAGCGTGGCTCTTTCACACCCAGCTTGGAACGCTCTAGATTTCCCCACGGTTCTCCCCCTTCCTGCTCCACGGAGAGAAAGGAGAGGAGCCGGTGGACAGGAGCCCCTGCGGGGGACAGGAGACAGTCACGACCTGCTCCTTTTTGGGTTTCTGGGGGCCCTGGCAGCAGTTCTGGGTGCTGTGGCCCCGGGAAACTCCGCAGCCTCAGTGTCCCGATGGGCAAGTGGGGCGTGGCCGCCTGGCAGAGACAAGGAAGGAAACCAGAGCTCGAGATACAGTGCAGGGAAGCGCCCAGCGTCCCCACAGGCGCCCACGCAGGCCGAACCCTCCATGAGCCCCTACTGCCTCCCCAGGCCCCAGACCATGGCTGGTTCTTCAGCCTCAGTCCCAGGCTCCGCCTAGACCCGGGGTCCAGTCTACACACGCGTTTACTGTGAAAAGGGGTCAGAAGGGATTTCCCTGGAGGGTTCAGGCACAAGGAGCCAGTAGCGGCTATGCTCTGGGCCTGGCGCTCAGGCGTGGCGTGGCCCAGTCTCAGCACAGCCCTGGGAGGTGGGCGCTGTGGCCCTCGCTCCGCCGGAGGGAGACTCGGGACGCAGAGAGGCTAAGCAGATCCAAGCCAGGCAGACGGACGTGCAGGAGCAGGACCCAGAGCCCCTCCTTATCTCTTAGCATCATCACGTCCGTGCGCCACTCAGGGGGAGCCAGGGTGTGGACGGGAAAGTCCCCCAGGCCAGACTCTGACAGGTCCCCAATTCTGAACAACCTGTACGCAACCTCTCAGCGCAAGCTGGTGGCAGCACTGGCTTCCGCCATCGCCGAGTCTTGGGTCTTATGGGAAAAGCCCAGATGAGGAAGGCTGGCGGGGAGAGGGGAGTTGTGCTGTGGTTGGGGGTGGAAGAGGCTCTGCGTTAGCGGGGTGAAGGGGAGGAGTCTGAGCTGGGCCTGGCCACAGGAGCCCTCTGGCCCTTGCTGCCCAGATGGAGCGGGTGGGGCCCAGACGGCAGAGCTCCAGCCAGCAGCTTGGCTTGGCCGCGGTCCTTTGGCATAAGATGGTCTAGTTTGTGTTTCCCTTCCAGGAGCGTCAGCGGCCCAGCGAGTCGAAGGCCCTTTCTAGGAAGCGCCCACAGACATCACTGCAAAAAGAGCGTCCCAGGGAGGCCAGCTGGGCAGGGGCAGGTGCAGAGGGGAGACGCCTGCAAATTGTTCTCGATTAGTTCAAATGTCCCGCACTACGCCTGGCAGAGTTCAGCCGCAGCCACCGCCTGGCGGAAGACCATTTTGTGAGCTGTCTGTCTGCTCCCCCCACCCCACACCCCCCACCCCCCACCCAGGGCTCACGGTTAATCTCTAAAGAAGG